CGGCGAGCGCACGCGAACATTACCGAACTCACCCGAACTTGAATGGTAATGCAGATCGAGTCTTGACATAGCGCCTCTGTTGAGGGACCACCCAACTACGTGAAGGTGGCCCCGTCTAAAACCGACTTGGCACAAAATTGCCTTAAGGTGCATTATCTATTTTGCGTAGCATATGTAATCTTTGATCGTACTAATATTATAAATGTGAAAGTTTGTGTGTTTATTTGTTTGTTTGTTTTAAGTTCAATCACACATTAACTACTGGACGGATCGGGATGAAATTTGGCATGATGATAGCTCATATTCCCGATTAACATATAGTCATATTCTTATCTCAAAAATCCTTTCGGGCTCCGCCCCAGTGGCTCTGTAGTTCCCCATGTTAACCTTAAGAGTATTCATATTTAAAGGTAATATAAGAATTGAGTCAGCTGTTTCAACTAAACAAGTTGGTTCTATGATATGCAAAAGTATTAAAAAGTTATAAGATTTACCAACAGGGTGCAGCACTAATTATTTTTTTGCATTTATGAAAAAAGCTAATTTGAACTAAGCAGCGACAAAAATTGTGATTCACAATGAGAACTGTCAAAGAGGATTGTTTTCAGTAATGTTTATATTTTTAATTGCATGAATAATTTGTGATATTTTGCAAATTTTTAATAATTTATTTTTCTTTATTGTTAAGTTGAAGTGGTAGAACATTATGGCTATGGTAGATGTGTAATACTATTGTAAACAGTAAATTTAAAGAACCGAATTTTATCAACTGTGTCCTCCCCCATTGCAAACGCTAATCTAGAGTATAACTGCAATGCGCATTTTACACTTATATGCCAACCCCATACGAAGGACGGGTACTCTGCTAGTAATAATATATAACAGAATGTAACACGCGTAACCATGGAATCTCCCCTGTATCTGGGGTATTTGGCCGGCGAAAGTATGACTCATCCGGTGTTGTTTCTATTCATAACGAAACGAGGAAAGTCCTACAAACATATTTATGATAACCCAACTTAACATAACCGGCGCAGTGCGCTGTATACATACTTGGCAGAGTACATGTGGCAGCTAGCGGCGGCGACGCATTCAACTCAATCCTCCCCGACATCGCTGCCTTCTGGGAGTCAGAACTCAAAGGTTGCTAATTGTAATCATGTCAAATTTGGAAAGTAAGTCAATTAAAGTATGTTCTTTCAAATTATTATGTAGTTTTACTTGTTTATAATTGATTTTCCTTTATAATAATAGGAGTAAAATGACTACACAGTATGGTTTCTAAAGTCCATAGTGCAAGTGATGTTTATTTACAACAAATTAATAAACATAGCAATCACATGGCATATAATTAACACATGACAGCTGCTTCTAACTTAGTACCAAGAAGGCAATGAGGAACAAGATTATAAATAAATTCCAACACCCCTCCTTAATCTTGATCCTTCATTGGGGTAAGACCAAGGTTGGTCATGAAACCATCATGCTTGATTTTGCCAAGTGATTTTGTCAAAATGTCCGCTACCATCCTGGAAGTTGGAACGTAATTCAGCACAACTAGTTTTCTCTTGATTATGTCTGTGACAAATAACTGTTTACGAATTATATGTTTGGTCTTGGCATTCACGGTTCTCTTCTGCAAAATCTTCATTGCTGGCATGTTGTCACAATGCAAATTTACGGACCTGTGTCTTGGGGAAGCAAGAAACAGATGCTTGTTTATAATTGAATTTCCTTTGTCATCAAAAACTAAAACTTGCCCTTTACTAGCTATTTTGCTCACAGATAGCAAATTTGTAGATAAATCTGGTACATACGTCACATTCGATATCACTCTCTCACCAAAGTTTTTAAGGTTCACAGAAACTTTCCCAGAACCCGCAGAGTAAATTTTGGTATTATTAGCGACAGTGACCTCTTCAACTCCCTCATTCGAGTTAAACGTTTGAAAACTTTCTTTACTTTTAGAAAGATTGTCAGAACAACACGAGTCTAAGTACCAGCTTTCAGGTTCTACCTTTACAGTCAGAGCAGTTATCCAACTCACATTTTTATTTTTGTTTTCACCATCTGACTTACCAATTTTGGAAATTGACCCTATCTTTGAGCTATTACTAATATTAGCTTGGTTATTTTCAGGACAATCCCTTACCATATGGCCTGCCTTTCTACATTTGTAACAAGTAGGAATAAAAGGCTTCCTCGTCTTTGAGCTTTTATTAGAATTAGCTTGATTAGTATTTGATTTTGATAGAAAAAGCTTCCCAGTACAGTCTAACCTTGATATAACGAACCTCAATATAACGAATTCCTTGATATAACGAATTTTTTTTAATCCCCTAGAACTCTCCATAAGGCACAATGTATATTTTACCTCTACATAACGAACAAACCATAACAACGACCTTGATTTAACGAATTTTTCGTGATTTCGGCTAAAATAAGACACCTCAATATAACAAATTTATCAATGTCAGAACCTCTACATTGCGAATTTAACCTCTGCATAACGAATTGTCTACGTCTTTCCCTTGATATAACAAATCCCCCACCCCAGTATTGTTTTTGGAAAATCTGTTTCTTTATCAAATTAAATGGAAAGGTTACGTCAACGCTTGCGCTAACATTCGTCTGCTCCGTTTTACACATCTCTCCCTCTCCGTCTGCTGTCGCTGCGCACGCTATGTTGCAACTGAGAACTGATTTCATTCACTGAGGACTGATGACGACGTAATCTGTAGTAGGCCTAAGCTGTGATTGGGTGATAAGTAAATATGGTGAATTGTACAATTTTTGGATAAAGAGAAATCTAAGAAAGAATATAAAAACATAAGCAAAGAGAAAGAATAGCAGCATTGTTATTTTAACATTCCTTAATTTACAAGTGTTTTTATTGTCTTTAAGTTGGCTATGAATATGCACTTTTATAACGATTTATCTAATAATTTATTGTTTTCAATACGATTTGTTTCAACTAGCAACACCAATGCTATAGTTAATGATTATTATTGACATTCCTCTGTTGTGATAAATCAGTACCGGTACTGTACTGTAAGTAGCCTACCGGCCTATCGAAGCAGTCAGTAGCTTACAAAACTTTCTACTGTTTTGTTTTGTTTTTTTACATGGTTTATGACTACGCAATGTAGTGTTTGGCTAGGTTTTAGGAGGGTTAGAACAAGCTGTGATTTTAAACTTACAGTTTTTAACCTGTACCAAGGTCAATGCCATTGTCATGATTGCGCAATATTCAAGATCCCTCACCTTTTTTATGCCGGATAATTTAGGTTCTACCATTGACTATTGGATACAGAAGGTTCTACTGTACAATCAACACTGTACTGTAAAGTATTGTAGCCTATGCTACTTTAATTGTGTTTTAATGAGGTCAAATCCCGGCCTATATTGACCGACGCTGGTTCTGAACCTCGACTTAGCGAAATTCCTGCAAACCTAACCTCTATATAACGAACCTCATTTTAACGAAATCCTTGATATAACGAATATTCAGTTCGGTCCCATCAGATTCGTTATACTGAGGTTGGACTGTACTGCTTTTAAAAGTTGAAAATACTACAGAGGACTCAGTGGTATCCTTTTCAGCCATGCTATTTAATTTTTCTAGTACTTTACTATATTCTACTTTATCTGTACTCTCGACTGCCATCCTAAATGCCCTGTAAGACTCAGGCAAACCTCTTAGAAGTAGACACGCCTTCATTTCATCGTCTACGGGTTTCTCTATGTCAGCAAGTTGAGCATTGAGGTCAAGAAATTTAGAAATATACTCACTCATGCTGTTGCATACTTCCAACTTCAAATCTAAAAGCTGGTCTAGCAGAAATATTCTCCTGTTTGTGCTCTTGACTTCATACTGCTTTGCTAAAATGTCCCAAGCTTCCTTCGCTGATGTGGCCGTCCTGATATGTAGTTTTGGAGCTGCCTCCAGGTGCATGGCAATCTTGGCGAGTGCCCTCTCATCTTTGTCTGGATCCACAGTTAGCGGTGTCGTCTCTGTAGTAGTCCTTCGTGGTTCAATGCAATTCCACAATCCCTCATATTTTAGAGCCATCTTCATGTCAAATTTCCAACTGGCATAGTTGGCTGACCCTTTCAACTTAGAAATTCCAGGGGCTGATGTGGAGTATATAACTTTGTCTCCCATCATAGTAATTAATAAGTGTTAATCCAATGAAATTTACTATAATATTTCTTAAACACTTCTCTTCAAAAATTAAACTGTTCAAAATAGGCCACAGAGAACATGTTACAGTAAAAGTGAAACTGGGCCCATGTTTATAATTGATTTTCCTTTATAATAATAGGAGTAAAATGACTACACAGTATGGTTTCTAAAGTCCATAGTGCAAGTGATGTTTATTTACAACAAATTAATAAACATAGCAATCACATGGCATATAATTAACACATGACAGCTGCTTCTAACTTAGTACCAAGAAGGCAATGAGGAACAAGATTATAAATAAATTCCAACAGTTTTTTGGTCTCCCAGTAAAAAAATCCCTTTAATATAAGTGGCCTCCGTATAATACCAAAGTAGGCCTACCTATTATACTTTTCTATTTTAATTTCATAAAGATTTTCTCTTTTGGCCCAAGCACAGAACAAATCAGATTCAATCTTTTTTTTAATCTTTGTAAAAAAAAAAAAAAAAATAGTCTACATCTTTTAGAGCCATTCATTTATAAAATTTTACACTGTGAAAGTTATATATATTTACCAAAATACCTACTTTACCTTCTCATGAAGGAAAATTTTGATTTAGCTTTTAAATGTTTGTTTAAAAAAGTACATAAATTAACAGGATGTATCCATAGATAGCTTTAGTCAACATTTTTACTTTGTTACCTAGTTTAAAATAGCGCCAATCAACCCTTTTAGATTTAAAATGTCAGGGCTTACTTAATACTAGCCTAATTACTTTTAGTTTATATATGTACATTTTTTCGAGTTAATTAAACTAATAAATTACTTTCCAGGCCAATTTCATGAGCAAAAATGATGATAACTCATCCATCCAGAAGAAAAATAAGTTTGCCAATACTTGCTGGAACTGTGATGAAACAACTCACTCCTTGAGAGACTGTCCTGAACCTCGCAACCATGTTAAAATTTCCCGTAGTCGTCAGGAGTTCCAAAAGTCTAGAGGTCCCCAGTGAGTAGGCCTACAGCACTCTAGGTAGCCCTCCTTTAGATATAGGTCTTCTGAACCTTATAACTTGATTTTTGTTTTCTTACTTGATTATTCCAGTGAATGAATCTTCTACTCAACTTAATTTAATTCTTAATGAGTGCTTGTTACAATAAGCCTCTCTCAGAAGTTATACTTTTATACTTTATACTTTCTTATGAAATGGCGACCATACAATGTAGGTATTTTAAGCCAAGTATGAATGGAGATGAGTGTAGGATGAGTGGCGCGATCTTGTAGTCTTGTTAGTGACTAAGGCCGACATTCCTTAGAGTAGTGAATTATTAGTAATGAAAAAAAAACGGTCGTAGGTGAAGTAGTGTTTGCAAATAGTCTTTAAGTGATTGTTGCGTAAACTACATTTAAATAACCCTGCCGCAGCAAACCTGCAGACTAAGCAAATTTCCATTTACCTGGCTGGATTTCTACTAAAATGTTCCCTTAAAATTGTCAGATTTATTTCCTACTAGTGGCATGTAGGGACATATGTCCCTAAAAACTCAAAATGTAAAACAATGTAATATAATTGAACAAACTACGAATCAAATGATTTATTTGTCAAGATGGATATCCCTGTACACCATATCTTTGTGTGAAAAGGTCTCTGTGTTTGCTTTACAACACAGCACATATTGGACATTGACTGTTTCAGGGTTGTCAGTGGCCGGGAATTCCGGGAAAATCGGGAATTATGCGTGAATTTTAACAGCCGTGAAAAAACCGGGAAATATGCGTGAAAATCGTATTATTCCGTGAATTTAATTGATATCGTTAATACAGTTTTTTTCTTTCAAGTAATTTTAATAGTTATAAACCGTTTTGCAATACTTTCTTGGTTGATTTTATAGTAAACCAAAATTTACGGTTTACTGGTGAGTGGCGATGGTTCGGAAGAAGCAGAAGGTAAGTTGGATGTACACTGCCTACCACCATGAATAGGCCTACGCGGGAAGCCGACATCGCCGGTCGCCGGTCGCCGGAAGCACTTAGTTAAATATACTTGCAACTCGAGTCGAGTAATAGAGGTTAAGCCGATTTCGTTGATGTTTGACAAGTAAATAATAAGAAAGGAAAATGTTTGAGTTTTATTTAATCCCTTAACCCCTTTCAATATTGACATACTAGGCCTAATAATAATCGGCAACCTAGGCATCGCTTGCGTCATCCATTTCACTGACAGCGACAGCTGACACTGGGTGATGGTGATAGTGATAGGTAGTGGTGTGCAGCGAGTGCGATGTATTGAAATTTCAATTCGATTCTAAAAAGGGATGTATCGATACAACCATCCATTGGTTACCACTTGGACATTGGTATCGGTTCGGTACCAAGACTCGATTGTCAAAAGTCGATTCCGATAACACCTGACACCCGACAGGGATAAATATTTTTTTTTTACATCTATTAACTTTATAGCTACAGTATTAGTTTTGTAATCACGATTAGTTTTGTAATCACGGTTAACAATTTTCATAGCCAACATAGAAACTATCTAGTTCAAAACAGCGACGGTGCCGGTGACATTGTTTAGCTTCAGCTCATTGCACAACACAATCGTCACAATCTACATTTCAAGATGTCTGAGACTCAACTCATGAGACAACCGGCGCGCGAATGTCCTGCCAACACGAAATTAATTAATACTAAACAATGTCTGTATCAATAAGTCAGACATTTAGATGTATTATTTTTATTTTTAGTACAAAATAAATAACCTAAACACGTCGAAATATTCAGTTTCCTCCCTGCAATATTCAACCATTAAACTTTAACATCGTCATCGTCGTATGGTTAGGCTTGCTTTATATTGCGCCAAAAAGTAGGTCCATATTTATCTGTACTATCTACCTGATTAAAGAGTTTAGTGAAGTTTTAAGTGCTACTATGACACAATGCATTTATTGAAAAATATCATAAGCCTTAGTCCATGTAGATTTTGTAATGGGCTCGTTCTGGGAACATGTACCGGTGCACCGGTGCAGATTAACCGGTGACTTGTTCACCGGTACCGCCCCGGGGCAAGAGTCTTGGTATCCCAGAACGGTTATTCACCGGTTTAAGGTACACATCGGATTATAATATACACATTCACCTATTATTTACTTTATAATATTTAAACCAAACAAACTTGTTCTCACAGAATAAATTATTTGAAAATTATTCACTTAATACGTAATAACACCCTCATAGCATAAATTATTCACTCATTACGCAACATAACCTATAAAACTGATGAACTATTAAATTATTCGATGGACCCGCCATCATGCCGTAGCTACATGCTGTTGTCGTTGTCCAAGAAACTGACCGATCGACCGATCAGAGGCCGCCGGTGTATTATGCACCTGCACCGTACAATTTCTCCGGTGCATAAATCTTGCACCGGTGGAGGAAAAAGAGGAAATAATGGTCGAACTCTGCGATACTTTCAGATTGTTTCTGGCATCGACTATAAAAAGTATAACGCTCAGCAACCACAAGGCGTTTAGGAGAATAATGATCTTCCAAGATTTTGCTCAAATTATCGTAAGATTCATCGTCAATCTTCTTAGGAGAAATAAGATTGGTGAGGACGGCTAATATTTTAGGGCCTATTACAGTAATCAAGATGGAGACCTGCTTCACGTCCTTGACCTCGTTGGCCTTGAAAAAGTGTTTCAAACGTAACAAATACGAACTAATATCTTCTTCGTGCGGATTAAACTCCGATATCCGACCGATATTAGACATTTCACGCACACGCGGATTAAATTTCGTCGCCAAATGTAATAATTGTAGTTATTAGTAATTGTACTACTAATAACTATAAGATTAAAGAACCCGATACTAGGGACAACTTACAACCCGATACTAGGGACAACTTACTACTTTGCATGATCACTCCGACTGGCGTTCCACTTCGCTTCGTGCCATCGTTCCTCATCGGTGACGTCACTCGGCAGTGCAGCCAACCACACACACAAAACTCAATATTCTTCTGGCAGTGTAATATAGCCTTATATATTACAGTAACTTTACTCTTTGACCCCTTAAACTTTGGTTTAATGTCGAAAATTGAAAGGTTTTACCACTATTACGAAGCCCCATGCTATTCTTATGGAGAATAGCTATTTAATTTTAAGACTTTGGTATGCTCATCTGATTCATTTAGAAACGTGCTAGAGACTTCAAATTTGGTAGTATTGTAGTATGGGATCTTTAATAAACGGTGAAATTTGCAAGAATCCCATTTTCAAATTTTAACCCCCCAAAAATCCAAAATGGCGGACATCACAAAACACGTTTTTTTTAAACGGCTATAGCTCAAAAACGGTAAGAGCTAGCAAACATTTGAAAGGATGTTCCCGGTCAGAAATTAAATTTTCTACAAAACACTCTTCGGCGTTTTCCGAAAATCACACCCTTTCACCCCTAAAAAACACCCTACTTTCAATAATGGCAAATTTCTTTCCAATTTTTAATGGTTTTTGCTATTTTTTCTACCTAGGTAATATTTTTTTACAACATTATTAATGCTTTCTACTCTCCTTAGTTTACTTTAAATTGAAGTCTTTACATGTTTTTTCGTAACTTTACTCCTTGACCCCCAAAACTGAAGTTTAATCTCAAATTTTGAAATATTTTCCCATTTTTACGAGGTTATAACAGATTCTTTACCTATTCTATGGGTGCAAGATGAGCTAGAGACTTGAAATTTTCGGTGGTTGTAGGTCTAGTGCCCAAACCCCCAGGAAAAATTCAAAAAGTGGCATTTTCAAATTTCAACTCCCCCCCAAATTTTGAATTCCCCCCCTCCCATGTTATTCTTATGGAAAATAACATTGAAAAATACCGACTTTCGTACGCTCATCTGAACCTTTTAGAAACGTGCTAGAGACTTGAAATTTGATAGTATTGCAGTATGGGATCTTAAATTAACAGTAAATTTTGCAAAAAACCCCAAGGGTATACAGAGACGACTTGAAGAAGAAACGTAAACGTGAAACAGAAACGCAAAAACCTGTGTTGAATCCAAGCTCCTGGCTGGTTGTTGTTTGCTTAAGTAAATCCAAATATCAACCCTGGAAGGATAACTCAGATCTTCGTACTGAGGTATATCCAGGAACTTAGCACTGTTTAGTGAATGGTACTTGAACCTGGTACTCTTACCTTCTCTGTAGCAGCAAATCTAAGTACTCATTTAACCTAATGTTAAATTTAAGTGAATGAATCTGACATGTTGAAGAAGATATTTTTTTCATTTAAAATCCAATCAATCAGGCAAATGAAAATAAGCTTAGTCTGCAGGATTGCTGCAGTGGTGGTATTTTTTCCTTGTGAAAAGGCTCATCTATGAAGTTGTGATATCTGGTGTTGACAGGGTCATATACAAGAGGTATCATGTGGAGGAGTCCCAAGTGTTTGGTCATCTAGTACCAGGTCAGATCAGCAAGGGGCTGAGGAAAGCTCTGGGTCTTGAGAAAAGACAAATACCTCTTCATATTTACAACATGCGGCGGCTTGGCTATCCCCCGGGCTGGCTTCTGGAGGCTAAAGTTTCTCACTCTGGCATATCCATGTTTGATGGACAGGGGAGAGGTAGGTTTGCCGCATTGCACCTCTTAAAGCTTCTCACTTTTAACTAGGCGTCTCAATCCCGGGCCTTCAATCCAATCCCGGGATTTCGGGATTTATCTCAGCCGATCCCGGGATCAATCCCGGGATGATATAATATTATGATTTTAAACTTTTTAGCCATTTTAAATGAGCGAGAAGTCCCCTAGTCGAGTACTTTAATGTTTTAAACTGGCCTTACCAGTGTTACCCTGCTCAATGTTTCCGTTTTCTAAGTAAATAAATATTACCACGCGGAACTTTCATCTTCTTATTTACAGTGTATAAATGTTGATATGTCACTCTATAATATAATAAATACATCTATATAAATAAAATTACAGTTTTGTCTGTACATTGCTTAGAATTATGCAGTTTTTGGTTATTTTTACGTTTCATAGCCTAAGAAACGATAAGAGGTAAGATAAGAGGTGGATTGGTAAGAGTGTCTTTTGGCTATAAAAACATGGCCTCGAATCTTTTAAAACAAAATAACGGACCATCAAAAACCCAATTTTGTTTGATTTTTGTAAAATTTTCTCCCAATGTTTACTATTACATTTTATGAAATAACGATCAGCTGTTTAGATTACTTTTTCATGTTCTAGTTGTTTTTCTAGGCCACTTCATGCAAATCAAAATAAGAAGGTTACAATACCTGCAGACTGCCTTTAGTGGTCCTTAAATATCCAACAGGATTACGCGTTTCGGTATTTGTTATACCATCATCAGATCCATATATACAAACTTGAAGTTTTTTGACTCATCATGTCACGTCACAGTTTTAAACACAGTTACAAAACATTTAAACACGAAAAACTATTTACAGTAGGCCTACTAATTAAAAACGAGAGACAAAAGTGAAGCAATGCATGCATTTCAAATGTCGAGTCTCAACTGGAGGTTATCTTGTCCTAGTAGTTGTACTTTGTACCCCCGGCTTCCTTTATCATTCCTTTCTGTCTCTGTCTAATCCTATTAATGTTTCAAATAATATATTAGACTGGAACAAGCTTTTATCATTTAATAAATCATTAGGGCGAATTTTTGTTGCTTTATATATTTCATAATTTTCCAAAGTTGTCATAGTTCGTCCTTTCCTACAGATATGTAGGAAATTTAAAAATAATATTAATAAATTTAAAAATAATAGTGAAAGGGGATTCTTTAAGGAAATAGTCAATGCTGAAGCCGCGATTCAAGTATTATCTGATGTTAATGCACAAACAACGGCAAGGGTTATGATAAACAATAAAGTAAATAAAGTTATAAAAACTCATAAGAAGTATAATCCTAACACTAAAGAAATGCATGTTCTTAAAGGAATTAAAAATAAGTTAGAAAATAATAATTTAATTATCACAAAAGCTGACAAAGGGAACACTGTTGTGATTATGAATAAAACTGATTACAATTGTAAAGTTGATGAATTCATAACTAAAAATGACATTGACAAGTTAAATAAGGATCCAACCGAAACTTTTACAAAAGAAGTAAATAAAGCCATGTCAAAGTGTAAACATTTGTTATCAGAGAAAGAGATAAGGTACATGAAGCCAATTAACCCTCTAGCTCCTCCGTTGAAAGGATTGCCTAAGATCCACAAGAATGAAATACCTATCAGACCTCTGGTAAATTACATGCCTGCACCTGCCTATAAACTTGCCAAAAAGCTGGAACGTATATTAAAGGAGGAGGTAAAATTAGAAAATAGTAGTAGCCTTAAAAACAGCTTAGAATTGATAGAGAAAGTAAAAAATGTAAGTCTCAATCCCAGATATACACTTGCATCGTTGGACATCACAAATTTATACACTAACGTACCTGTAAATGAGACCTTGAAAATATTAGAGTGCAATTTAGAAAAACACTCAAAGTTGACTGAGATTGAACAAAAGGAACTCATGACCTTATTAAAGTTAGTACTAAAACAAAATTATTTTAGCTTCAATGGTAACTATTATATTCAACATGAAGGATTGGCGATGGGCTCACCTTTATCTTGTATACTAGCAGAAATTTTCCTAAACAATTTTGAGAACATGCACATAAACACAGAGAAGAATAAATACAGAGAAAAAATAATATTTTTCTACAGATATGTTGATGACATAATAGTCCTATTCAACGGAAACTCAAGACAGATAGCTCTATTTAATAACTATATTAATGGCATTCATCCTAAACTAAAATTTACAGCAGAATTGGAGCAAGCTAATGTGTTGAATTTCCTTGATATCACCCTGAAAAAAGAAAATAGTAAATTCTCATTCAACATTTACAGGAAACCTACAACTACAGATACCACCATACATGCAACTTCCCATCACCCGTTTTCATACAAAATGGCAGCTTATAATAGTTTTGTGAACCGTTTATTAAATGTACCATTAAGTCCAGAAGATTTTAAAGAAGAGAAAAATACACTGAAGCATATAGCAATTTCAAATGGTTACAATCCTAATATAATTGACGATTTAATCGGGAAACATTTAAGAAAGAGGACTGAACCAAAACCAACTAATCAGCGGTTTAAAAATTCAGATTATGTCCCAGTCGAATATGGTAGCAGATTCCCTCTAACTCTTAAAAATGAATTAAAAAAGCATGGGAAAATTGCAGCTTTTAGAACCAGCAATAAATTGGAAAACATAGTTAATCCAAAGGAAAAACAAAGCATTAATAACAAATCTGGAATTTATCAAGTAACATGCAATGATTGCAGCAAAATGTATATTGGTCAAACTGGGCGATCTTTTGAAAAAAGATTTAAGGAACATATCCCCCGAACCAGGGAGACACAAATATCCAGTTTTGCCGAGCATCTTGTTAATGAAAATCACAGTTATTCAAATGTCAGTACAAATCTAACAGCTTTACATATCTGTAGGAAAGGACGAACTATGACAACTTTGGAAAATTATGAAATATATAAAGCAACAAAAATTCGCCCTAATGATTTATTAAATGATAAAAGCTTGTTCCAGTCTAATATATTATTTGAAACATTAATAGGATTAGACAGAGACAGAAAGGAATGATAAAGGAAGCCGGGGGTACAAAGTACAACTACTAGGACAAGATAACCTCCAGTTGAGACTCGACATTTGAAATGCATGCATTGCTTCACTTTTGTCTCTCGTTTTTAATTAGTAGGCCTACTGTAAATAGTTTTTCGTGTTTAAATGTTTTGTAACTGTGTTTAAAACTGTGACGTGACATGATGAGTCAAAAAACTTCAAGTTTGTATATATGGATCTGATGATGGTATAACAAATACCGAAACGCGTAATCCTGTTGGATATTTAAGGACCACTAAAGGCAGTCTGCAGGTATTGTAACCTTCTTATTTTGATTTGTTTAGATTAGTTCTCACTTCTAGCTGTCACTGATATGTTTACATTAAAAGCTGTTTACAAATGCCGTAACCATTTCCGATCAAGTTTTGTTAGCACATCAAAACCAAGTGAGATTAAAAAACTTTGTGCCTTAACCGGTTTAATTAATTGCAAGTGCAACGATTGTTCTTGAGTTTTGATAACCAGGAAAAATACCGTGAATCAGTGTTGTATTAGTGCTGGGAAACTTACATTTTTTTAATCATCGTCACCAATAGCTTACTAAAAAGGTTTCCACTCATTGACGGCGCTTCAAGGACAGTTGTGTAAAGTGCAAAGTAAAAAATCACAACTGCAGTGGGTGATCGTGGATGTTTCTACGATCTTGGAAGATCTTTCTGATTTCACTGTGATCGTAACAGAGGTTTAACTTACAGATGTAGCTAAACTCGCTTTTCCAATGTGTCACTTTTGGTTTCTATTTACTTACATTTCGACAACCATATCGGTACCTTTCCTAATTAGGAAGTAAAACTACAAACGTTTAAAACCCCAGATTTGGGCGTTTTTTGTCACATTTCCTCCGAATGTTTGCTAGATATATGTACCGATTATCGTTTAGGGATTACGTAATATTTTAAATAAGAAACCTTTGTTTGGATAAAGGGGGTTTCTTCAATCTGTTATTAATATGTTAACATTAAAAGTTGCTTATAAATAATGATATTAATGGGAAATAACTTTGATTTTTGAAAACTAAAAAAAAAACTTAAAACCAAAGGAGATTAATAACTTTGGTAACTGCACTACATTAGTAAAAGTTTTTTTGAGCAAACCATAGTGAGCTTTTAAAGCTTTACGTTGTTAACGTTACATGTTACATGTTTTGTGGCCTGTGTATTTATTTATTTATATATTTGCCAACGGATAAACACCTATAATAAAGTTTGATTAGAAGGACAGTTTGAATTGGTCGTAAGTACGAGGGTTGTTTTTTTAAGTAAGGGCCGTTTTTATTTTTAACAAAAGATACAAATAATTTTGTAAAATAATTTTTATTTTCTGATTCTACACACTTTTACCTATTTTTCTATATAGTTGCCTTGTTTATTTAAGCACTTGTCACAACGTAGGCTACAACTAAGTTTTTAATTCCCTCTTCAAAGAATTCGGCCGCCTGCTCCGACAGCCAAGAGTTCACGGCCGCTTTCACTTCATCGTCGTCATTGAAGCGCTGCCCGCCAAGATGGTGTTTCAGGTAGCCTACCGGAAAAGGTGAAAATCGCTAGGAGCAAGGTCGGGGCTGTATGGTACATGGTCCAAAACTTCCTAGCCAAAAGAATCAATCAAATCCCAAGTCTTTTGAGAGTTGTGAGGCCTAGCGTTATTGTGCAGGAGCAAAACTCCTTTTGTCAGCATGCCGCACCGTTTGTTTTGAATTGCTCTGCGGAGCTTCTTTAGAGTTGCACAGTAGGCATCTGAGTTGATCGTCGTTCCTCGTGGCATAAAGTCCACTAGCAAAACACCGCGCCGGTCCCAGAACACAGTTGCCATAATCTTGCGCTTTGACAGAGTCTGTTTGGCTTTGACATTGACGGGTGAGGTTGTGTGTCGCCATTCCATTGATTGTCGCTTGCTTTCGGGAGG